TAACTCTGCAGCACTCCATTGAGCTCTTCTCTGCTGATGCTACCAGAATTGCTTTTGCTGATGCAGGTATGCTGCTGCTGCTGCTGCTGCTGCTGCTGCTGCTGCAGTTGCTGCTGGTGCTGGTGCTGCTGGTGGTGCTGGTGGTAGTGGTGGTGGTAGTGGTGGTGGTGGTGGTGGTGGTAGTGGTGGTGGTTTTGTTGTTTTGTTGTTGATGGTGATGATTGTGATGATTATGCAGGCATGCTGCTGCTGCTGCTGCTGTTGCTGCTGCTGCTGCTGCTGCTGCTGTTGCTGTTGCTGCTGATGATGTTGCTGTTGTTGTTGCTGTTGTTGCTGCAGCTTCTGTTGCTGCTGCTGTTTCTGGTGGCGGTATCAATGCCGCTGCTGTTGCTGCTGCTGCTGTTGCTGCTGCTGCTGTTGCTGCTGTTGCAAAAGGGTCTAGGGTTTAGGGTTTAGGGTTTAGGGTTTAGGGTTTAGGGTTTAGGGTTTAGGGTTTGTGCATGCAGGGGATTCTTTGGATGATGGAAACTTTCAAAGAGAAACAGCAAACAGCGCAATAACAAAACTCTTTCTTTTTAAAACCCTCGCCACTGACTTTGTTGATAAAAAACTAGAACTCAGAGAAGGTCCTAAACCCTAAACCCTAAACCCTAAACCCTAAACCCTAAACCCTAAACACTGAACAGGGAACAGGGAACACTATGTAGGCCTTGACTCTTTCTTTTTAAAACCCTCGCCACTGACTTTGTTGATAAAAAACTAGAACTCAGAGAAGGTCCTAAACCCTAAACCCTAAACCCTAAACCCTAAACCCTAAACCCTAAACCCTAAACCCTAAACACTGAACAGGGAACAGGGAACACTATGTAGGCCTTGACTCTTTCTTTTTAAAACCCTCGCCACTGACTTTGTTGATAATAAACTAGAACTCAGAGAAGGTCCTAAACCCTAAACCCTAAACCCTAAACCCTAAACCCTAAACCCTAGACCTGAACCATTGCATGCTATATGAATTCTCCTTGAGATATTCATTTCTATTGATTAGGGTTTTTCTACATCTACATACATATACACATATCCATATAATAAACTATAAAATATAAAATTTAGGGTTTAGGGTTTAGGGTTTAGGGTTTAGGGTTTGTGGTGTACAGGTCCGCTGACAGCAGCAGACGAGTTGTTTTTGAATGAGATAGGGTTTTGTGTGAAGGCAGCAGCAGCAGCATACGAAACCCTTCAATACAGAGAAGCACTAAAGGCTGCGTTTTATGAGTTTACTATTAAGAGGGATCTATATAAACAACTTGTAGATAAAGATAAAATGCATAAACAACTACTCAATACGTGGATAGGTGAGGGTTTAGGGTTTATGAAGGTTTATTGGCGTTTGTTAGGGTTTATTAGGGTTTATTAGGATTTATTAGGGTTTATGAGGGTTTATGAGGGTTTATGAGGGTTTATGAGGGTTTATGAGGGTTTATGAGGGTTTATTGGGGTTTATTAGGGTTTATAACCGTGTCTTAGGGTTGATGAGGGTTTATGAGGGTGTAAGAGGGTGAACGAGGGTTTACAATTGTGAACAAGGGTTTAGGGTTTAGGGTTTAGGGTTTAGGGTTTAGGGTTTAGTGTTTGTGTGTGTCAGAGGTTCAAGCTATAATTCTTTCTCCCATTGCTCCTCATATAAGTGAATATATTTGGAGTTTTATTTTAAAAAAAAAGGGTTTAGTGGTTGACGCTCAGTGGCCCGATATACCCTATGACCCCGTCCTACACAGGTAAACCCTAAACCCTAAACCCTAAACCCTAAACCCTAAACCCTAAATTTTGAATTCTAAAGCGCATGGCGTGTGCTGTAAACCCTAAAACCTCTAATCAACGAAAAACACAATCTACACTATTGTTTATTCTTTACTCTAGGGGAGGAAAGGGTTTAGGGTTTAGGGTTTAGGGTTTAGGGTTTGTGGAATAAACCCTAAACCCTAAACCCTAAACCCTCGATACACCCCCCTAAACCACCAGAATCCGTAGCAAATCCAAACCATAGATGCAAAACCCTTGATGCGGCCCCCCAAACCCTAAACCCTAAACCCTAAACCCTATAAAGTCTGAACTCAAGAAGTCGGATGCATCGTGAAATCTAGGGTTTAGGGTTTAGGGTTTAGGGTTTAGGGTTTAGGGTTTGTGGTTTAGGAAGTTTCAAATTTTGTTTTCCTGCGTCGAGGACTTTCGCCGAGCGAAGGAGAAAACAATCCAAGCAGCAGCAGGGGGCAGGAAGAAGGGAAAGCAGCAGCAGCAGCAGCAGCAGCAGCAGCAGCAGCAGCAGCCGCAGCTGACGCATGCAGTCATATATGTAGCTAAGTGCGTCTACACCAACACAGTATCTTACCTATGCAGCAGCAGCAGCAGCAGCAGCAGCAGCAGCAGAAGCAGCAGCAGCTGCAGAAGCAGCAGCAGCAGAAGCAG